AAAATCCAAGATGGCGGCGAAACCATGTGACTGATCTGAAATTTTTTTTAGGTTTCTGAAAGGGTTAGATAGGGACATGCCATGACGCAATATTTGAGATTAACGCTCAAGTGTGGCATGAGTAAAAAACTACTTCCTGTTGAGAACAAATCCAAAATGGCAGCCAAACCACGTGACCAATCATACTGAATTTCTCAAATTTAAATCTGCTCCATATGTAGAAGCTAAGTACTGAATATGAGAACATTTTACTTGGCAGTTCTGAAGAAGAAGATTTTAAAGTGTTTTTTGCCGTTTTTAGGAAAAACAAAATGGCGGGAAAAGTCACATGACCGCTAAAGTTTTTATTTCTGATATTTATTACACATGAGTTGTACTATATACCATAAAAAAATCTAGACGCCTAGACCCTCAGAAAGTGGTCAAACAGCCACTTCCGGTTTTATTTCAATCCAATATGGCTGCCAAACTAATTGGCCAATCAAAATTCTGAAAGCATGTTGCACCAGTTCACATTAGGGACTATCAGTATAGAGCATTATCAGACCATTCCGTTCAGCAGTTTTCTCAAACGGCTTGACGAAAAAAGTTACGGAAGAAAGAAAGAAAGAAGAAAAAACCGGACAATAAGAATAGGGGCCTCGCCCTTCGGGCTTGGGCCCCTAAAAAAACCGAACAATAAGAATAGGGGCCACGCCCTACAGGCTTGGGCCCCTAAATATGTATGAATACAACCAATATAGCTACTGCGAAAAACTAATTCTTTAACACCATTCACTCTGTGCTAAAGCAAACAGCGTTTCCCCCTTTAACGTTTTCATAATGTATTTTTTCGTCAGCTATATTGCACAAATAGTGTTCACATGTAGTATGTCATCAGGCGCTACAACAGAAAGCGCCAACAGCCCTTATACCATTCTCAGAGTCATGTCTCCAGGGATACACTCTACACGTGTGCTCACCTGTGGTATGGATCAGCAAAATAAGGTGATGAACAGGAAAAGCTTCCATTTGTATCTTCAATTTATAATACAATCCGAATAATAAAATTTGGGTGTTTTGGGGGATTATCAATATTTTTATATAAATTTGATGAATATAGTTGCTAGATTAGAACCTCCACTGTATTTCCCACTCAACATGTATGCTATCCGTGTTTCGTGTAATGAGGTGTTCCTATGATTTTTACACAGAAACGATGAATGTTGTGGTATTGTTTTAGGGGTTGAGATATATTGCTCCAACAAATCGTTTGGTTGTGAAAGTTTGGTATTTCCCCCTTAATTTGTACGAAACTTGTCTCTTTAGTTTTAAGGTGTACTCACTATAGCTTTTCCATATAACAAATATTGGTACATAAATTGCATTTATATTTTATTATCACTTGTGCACCAGTTGACTGTTGTATCAGCGGTGCACACTGCAGTGTGATACTAAACACTAAAAATCGGCTTTTCAACCACAGCTTGCATAATTAACATGTTTTCGCCCAATCAGAATGGCATATTCAAGGAATAAAAACTTTGCACTCTGACTCTGATGTAAAAATATTTCAATTTCGTCTGATAGGGGGGGGTGGGGGTGGGTTGCCCAATCTCCTAGGCAGAGTTTTATCTCTATGAATACACTTTCAGTGTTCTAACCGCAAGGATCTCTGGGAAGGAGAGTGGAGGTTGCCATCACCATGCAAACAGTCAATAGCTCATATCTGAACACTGGGAACCAGAGAAACCAACAGAAAATTGTGGGAGACTCGCAAGCACTTACATTTCTCAACATAATGGTTAGAAAGCTCGGCTTAGTTCGGTATAAACAACCAGAAATAAAGGTGTCAAAAGAGTGAGACGGCTGGGCTTGTTGAATAATGGAAGTGCCAGTAAGCTGCGGCATGTGTATGAAGGATGGCCGACGTTGCCTAGCAGCCTAGGGGTAAACCATTAATTAAAAAAAAATTCTTGTATATTGTATAATCCTGGCAAAATAATTTGATTTTGTCTAAATTGGACAAATGTCAAACTGTATAAAGTAGGAGTAAATCGAAGTAACTGATAAAAAAAAATAAGCTGGAAGCAGTCTTTATAACTTACATGAAGTGACAAATAATAATTTATGAGAAATATTGTCCTTAGTTTGTTTGACAGTGATCAAAAACATTGGATTTATACAATCACAGAATACATACCATGCATCACAATTTATTTTACTTTAAAAATATTTAGAACAACAAAATTATTTATTCTTTATTAATACTGTTTTTTTTGTATAAAAATTTATAATATATTATTATAGACAAATTTTAAAATTAAATGCATTTCCTGATATGATTGCAATTTCAGACGATCATCTGGATAAGATTGTTTGTTTGATGCTTTGTTCTTTACTCCACTTTGAAATTTCATCTTGAGTGAACTGCTCTGGTGTAATGGTTGGAGGTACAGCATGGTGGGATAAAAGAGAATACGAGGCTGCTTTCAGTCCTCCTTCTATGCATATATTTGGTGGAAAACCTTGTATTGCACCATGAATAATGAATGATGCCAAGCTAAAAAAAATAAACAAATAAATAAACGAAAAAATAAACGAATGAATAAACGAATAAATAAATAAATAAATAATGACATGATAGATGATTATATGCATAGGATTAAAAGAAATCATGTATATAAAATGAAATATCAATAGACCATTTTCCATTCACTAAGAGAATCACGCGTTATGCGTGAAATCGAACGTAAAAACAGGACAGACAAAGGTCATAGCGTTGTAGTGGCGTCAAACATTGCGTGGGATTCAACAAACGCGAAAGTATTTTTGGGACATTTCCAAGCTTAATAATGTGCTGTCCACATTTGATGATAGTAAGGGTATTAGAAAGCAATATTCCTCTGTCGAAGATCGGCCGGTTGATGAGAGCTACGAAATAAAGAAGTTCAAATTCAAATCGTTTGATTTTTGCGGCAGACGTACGATGCGCGTCTTTCATGCAACTCGCGAGATCTCGCAGTTGAACGGAAAATCACCTATTAAAGCAATTTCTTTTTATAAACATGAAATAACAAATCAGAGCGAGAACATTTCGTAAAGTGTAAAATGTGAAGTTGATTACAGCAATCATGGACGATCAACAATCAGCTGACTTTCTCAATGACAGAGCTAATATAACATATGTGTATGAAACTGTCTTGTTTTTGTACATAATTCGAGAAATTTGAAATCAACATGGTTGCCAGTCAGCCATTTTAAGTTATTTTGTTCTGCAAATCCAATCTATACAAGAACAAATGTGAGCAATCATTATTTGTGTTAGTTTGTAACCCTGCATTGAAAAGACCCAGAAAAACATAGTAGAAACCAAACACAATAACCTGCTGAAAGCACATGGTCTATGACTGCTTAAATACCAATTAGCTTGTGCATTTTTTTTATGTAAGAAGATTTTGAGGTGACTGAATTTGAATATGCCAGAGACATTTGAGACAAAGTGCTCCAAATGTTGACCATGTAATTTGGGCAGTCAATGGGTGCACAGAATACCTAATATATTGTGCTCTGATGATGATGATGCTCGAGAACCTGCATGATATTTGAAGATTGTCAATGCACAGGTAACAATAGAAAATGGGAGGATGGGAAAAGAATGAATCACACAAGATGATTTTATAGCTTTAGACCACGGACCTCAAATCAGCAGAATAAATCACACATCTTGGGTTTTCCATAAAGAATTACAAAAAACAAAGCAATAATGCTCAAATATTTGTAACCACACTGAAACTTATACTGGATCATTGCAACAGACCTAGAACAATCCTTTGATGCGTTTCAGTCAACGCTGAGAAAGAACTGATTTTGGAAGGGGTTCTGCCAGTGTGCTACTTCTGGGAGACCCTCGTTCAAATTTCTTGACTCGACATGATGACTCTTATTTGTTTGATTTCGAGGATATCTACATTTTTTGTAAGGTTATTACAAAGATACCTCAAAGTATGTATGAAGACTGTACAGCAGCAATATCGACTGACGCGCAGCAGAGGTCGATGCACGGCGTACTGTCTGAGTGCATACTATGAGGTATCTTCGTAATAACCTTATTATTATACATCTTTTCCTTCCAAGGGAATGCCAAAATCCAAAAAGTTTAGAACAGAATCAGCGAACTTCCTTGTATGGAGTCTGGTCAAACCCTAGTGGCAGCCATGTTTGTTTTTATTATTAGAGGATGCTTACACGCATAATCATTCCATATTTGGAATTCACATTTTCTAATATGGTAGGATGAAAATACCCCATAAATACCGCAAAATTACGGCAGGCTGTAACTTATGGCTTTACGGTGACAGATGTATAATAATACAAAACAGCAGTAGTAATTGGCTAGCAATGAAATGAACAATATTTATAGGTTGGACTACATCTGATGAGGATTGACGAACAATGATATGAATTCTAAAAACATTTCAAAACAAAGTAACCTTAGAAAGAACTTTCATGTGCTGAGGGTAGAAAATACATACCAATCACCAGCTCCTGAAACGCTAACTATATTTTCACTATCAGTTGCAGTAAAATGTACAGCAGAAACAAGTCCCTTTTTTGTTCCCTAATGAACAAACAAATTACACAGTTTAGAACACAGGCAAGCATTGTGACTTTTATCAACAAGCAATTTTAGTGCCCAGCTGTGTGCTATCTATAGGATTGAAGCTTATAAATACTAGGCATAATGTGTTAGGTACAACATTGTGTAGTCAGTCATATCCTAATCTTAAAAACTGAATAGAGTTCAACTGATTCAGAGAATGCTACTAGGAACTACTTTGTCAATTTAGTGAATTGAGTCTTACATATACAACACAACAATCATCGTCACTGATGTGAATTTACTAACTCAATATTTTTTAACATGATATTTTTTCCCGCACAATTTTAGTAATTTTTCTCTAATTTTTTTGAAGCAAATGAACATAATTATTCATTGCATACATGTCTTGACAACATGAATGTTTGCTTTGTGAAAAATTACAAAAGTTGGCATTCGAAAATTGAAAGAGAGTATGTAAATATAGTACTATTGCGTGGGGTTAAATATCAATGGAAGAACAGGATGAATCAGACTAAATGAGTTACGTTACCAGGTTTATTTTGGTATGAGAGTAGCCATGTTGAACAGAGCATCATGGGAAAACAAATTAACACACAGCATTTCAACATTAACATAGGTGGCGCTATACTCCATATTGGCATAAATATAACACATACCTTTGTTTTTTTACCACTTGGAAGAGGCTGATGGGCATGTGTATTTCTACATACTAAGACACCATCTTTACCAAGTGTTACTATCACACAACTGATGTGATGTAATAACTGGTCACAAAGAGGAAGCAGATCTGTAACTTTGTAATCTGGGGAGAAATGAACAAAACACATTGATTGATTGATTGATTGATTGATTGGGTGTTAGAAATCAGGCATGTGATTTCAGATTAAATGTAAGAAAAAGACAATCGGCCATGTAAAATTGACAACACAGGAGGACACATTTCAGTTACTTAGTTCACTAATTTACTTATATAATGATTGAAAGACATAGATATACAAGTTGAAAAGGCGGCAAACGTTGCGCTGCGCATGTGCGACATTAGTGTTGATAAACATTGATTTTCCCACAATCCAATGCCTTCTTCTAAAGGAAATCAAAAGTATGAAATTTGACCTAGGCGTGACATCCACTAAATACCACCGTTGACTCCTTCGATACCTTCCAATCACAGTTTGTGCTCGTTGATCTGCACAACAGTCAAAGTCGCCATCTTTGTTTATATGAGACCCATATAAATCGCACATGCGTGGCGCGATGACTCCCGCCCTTTAAAGGGCAAAGGTTATCACGCAGCATGCGTTAAAATGTGTAAATAAATAATTTATTTTACATGCATTATGTGTGTCACTACATACATCAAATATTGAGCACAATGCGGCATGATAATCATCATCCCATTACTATATTGAGATGATGTGGATGTAAAGACTATTTCTTTCTCAAATATAAATGAAATACCTACCTGTTTGAATATCTTTTAAGTTACCATCAAGTAATTCAGTTATACTGCCAAGTTCATTAACATTTGGTGATATATACGTTAATGACTTCCATGAATCAGAATTGAAGGGTTTCTTACACTTTACCACACAGGTTGGCTCAAACCAAACTACAACATAAGAGTAGATAAAGTGTAAGATAAGTAAATAGTAATCATTATAATTCAGAAAGTTCCAGGCCATGATACAATCATCACATTTGTGTTATTTTGTGAGACCTCCATAAAGTAACCCCTGTGTAATCTTCATGTTTTTCATATTAAATTTTGTCCTCATTTTTGAAATTTAAATTTAACAGCTCTACTCAATATAAAGTTGTATCTGTGAGACTCAAAATAAACATTGAGATTCATGTAGGTTTGAGATAACAGAAAACTAATGAAATCTGCATGATAGATTTCAGGTCACAAGTCACAGTACTTCATAGATCTGTCTTGCATTGATGCACTTTTGTTTCAACCTTTATTGATTCAGATAATAACTAATATACACTTTTATAACTACATGTATTGTACAAATCATGACAAAATCAACCCCAACAAAAAAACCCATCAGAAATGGCAGATCCTGGCATCTTTATTATAAGCACTGTTTGAACATTTAAAAATAAAATTATAATTGTTCCAGATATGATAGAAAATCAAAGGACCATATAGTAATTGAATATACTGATCTTCAAGGAAGCAGTTGCAATAGTGCTCCATATATGATATTCACACATTTTTAATTAGGTCACATGACCATATACTATAATTAAATAACTTGAGTGCCAGACTTATGCTAAGGATAAATGCTATGATTGCTACATTAGTAGTACACTAGGCAGAATTATTAAAAATAAAAAAAATCATCAGAATCATCCTACCATAACATATAATTTATAACATATATCTTTTCCAAATGTTTAATTTATCTCTCTGTAGATGTTCATAGATTCTGTAATGATGACCATGACTTCTGAGTAGTGGTTTGAAATTAGTCTGAGTCATCGGTGGCAGTAGTGACATAATTTGTTGTAGTCATATCTAAATAAAACATGCCATTGGTGACTGATGAACAATTTGGTGAAATCTCAGACATAAACCAAATTTAAATGAGTATGGCATAATGACTGTAGTATTTTGAGTGATATACATGTACTCACCAGGCACTTTATAATAATCCGATAATTCACAGATATAATTAATAGCATCGACTGGAAGATTGGCATCCATACAAACCAAAGGTGCTTGTGAAATTTCCTTTTCAAACTTTGATATCTATTATGAAGAAAAAGGCATGCAATTAATCATAAAATTACACTCTAATCTCATCAAATCCTATTTTACAATTTTGTATATATATTGTAAATAAATATTTATCTATTTAAATTATTTTAAAATTATGACAATATACATGAACTTCTTTATTATGATCTATAATAAATGTCAAAAAAAATTAATGATATTCAGTGTAGTTACAAGTGTCATATTTCGCATAGGAAAATTTGAAATAAAATTTGAAAATTCTTTTTAATAATAAATACAGTTTGACCAGAATAGTTGAAGTAAAATGAGAATTCACTCACATATAAAGTGATGATTAAATCTGCATGGTTCATCACGATTCACTATAGACCATAACTTTGATTGACTGATTGGATTACTAGTCATACTAGTCATATGATTCCTCATAACAGGTAGCATAAACTGCTAAAGGCAGCCATAGTAACTGGGATATTTATAATTGTGCATAGCTGATAAGTACACAAATCATTGCATGTACTTGGGCATTGTGGTCTCTCTACAAAGATTCCAGGGTAGTTAAATGAGATGGTGACAATGTACTTACTAAGTTAGGAGTCATTGCAGCATTCACTTCCATGTCACCTATACCGAGCACTACCTCTCCAGTATGGTTTAAAACTAAACAATATGTAGCAGTTTGTTCCCCTGGTAACTGTTGAATGTAACCTGTATCCTAGATAATGTTATAAGTTAAAAAAAATATTTAAGTCTGAGTTTCATATGTATGAATGAATATGCTGAATCTATAATACATTATTGTCTAACAAACGATCAAAATTCCTAAACATTCATAGATAAATTGTTACTAGTTTATCATATAAATATTCCAACTGATAACTGTTATTTTACGTTGGTTATTGGCACCAATCTGATAAAAATAAGATCCTGGTTGGCTTAATTTTTTTATATATATATAATTACTATAATTATTATTTATTTTAATTATTTGTTGACGTTACAATTATTTTGCTGCCAGAATGGTTTTGTTCGTGAAAGCCACCCGATGATAAAATAATTATATATATATAAAAAAATGAAGCCAGCCAGGATCTTATTTAATCAGATTGTTATTGGCACATGCATATCCACATTTGAATGAAGCAACTATATTTTTTTCAAGATACATGTAGATGTATATTTAGATACTCATTATATACATATATATGCTCAATGTATGTACCAAAATAGACAGCAACTGTCTATGTATAACCAAGATCTGAGTTCATATAACAGCAGAAACAAGTTTGAAACTGATTTCAAAACGAAATGATGTTCATCAAGGTCCAATAATGTGCAATGCATGTAGAAAATTTGAGCAAAATCCATCCATCCATACATGACCAAGATTTGGTCCCAGAACAGCAGAAATGCTCAGTTTTGATAAATTTTTAACAATAAAATGCTAATCATAATTTGCACATCTTGAATCAGATCAGACTAGTGCACTATTACTTATTGGCACACGTGCCATAGCCTAAAATGTCACTTGGCTCACGGAAACTTGAGTGGACCAAAAGTGACTGCTCTCTGACTCGCTGTTGAATTTTGATTGAGGGTAGTCGAACAAAAAAAAAATTTCTGGTTCATGTTTGACTGTGTCGATAAAATGATAAGAACAGTAATTAGGCTCTGACTTACATTAAATATATCAAATAGGAAATGGCTGCCTCAGAGCAAATTGCTCAGCGTAACTATATAAGCTCTCTAGAAATATGATAACGTTATACATAGGAAATTCCTAAGTAATGGTACTTGCACCGATGGTGGTTGTGACACATGAACCCAAACCTTGCAGTCATAATTGGTGTAGACACTGCTCAAATTGACTCATGACAAACATTCAGAATTAAACTATTTTCACAAAATCATTGCCTTATTGTTGTATAAGATTTCCAAAGATTTTTATCATATTAAAATAAGCTTGATCACTTTGCTTAATATGTGTAACAATAAACAAAATGATGCTGCCCATAGACCAGAAGAGCACATGCCACTCTTAGGCAATTTACAAAGCATATTTGCAAAAGTAATTTTGTGTTATTTGCTGTTTTTGAATATGCCGATAAAACTGCTCATTTCTGACTACAGACTGTGAAGTCATGAAATAATTCGAGAAGAATAGATGGAGATACAACCAAAATATCTTTTATTTTATACTCACAATGTGTTGGCAATAGTTCAACAAGTTGGAAGCATGGTTGTCATCTCCAATGGCTGAAACAAATATTGGGTTCGCATCTAGGCGACTCAGACAATCTGGTGGAAAGATTCAAACCATAGAAATTAAATAACTAAAGAAATGAAAAAAAAAGTATTGTGCAATAAGGGTACAAATTTGTCATATACTGACAGTAATACTATCCAAATATCTGTAAGTAATCAAAGAATCATGTACATTTTCATGGAAATTTAGAGGACTTTCGAGAAGGCTGCATTCTTATGATCGAATACAAATAAATTTCATTGCCCGTACAAAAATGATTGAAATTGACCATTAGCAAAAATGTACAAATTTGGTGAAGAAGGTTAAATTGTAAAATATTTATGATAGGTCAAATGTCAAAGGGTAAAGGTCAAACTAATCTGATTAAATTCAAATTTGTTTATAATATTCATGTTTTATTTATTTTTAACATGTAAAATAAATCTGTTATGTATGCATTTCCAACTGTTGCCCACAAAAACTAACATCAGAATTGTTACCGGGTATTTGTGTGCCTGTGTTCTAAGAATCTTAGCACATCCTATTCATTTGCATACATGAATGCCATTCTTTGAAAGTACTTTGTGGCCAGTTTATCGTCTGTTATTAAACAAAATTTTTATTTTTCTGAATCCATTTATGGTTACAGATTTAGACACATTGGTAACATTTTTACTAAATTTTAGGCTTGTTCTATCAACTGTTTCATGCATCTTAACTGTAAATCGTCAAGCAATAATGAGAGTTCAGTGGAGAAACAAACCAGCGAGTTGCCAAGGTAAGGTTGGGGGAATTAGAAATGAAGATTTTATCAAATGCAATATAGCACTTTGGTATGTAATAATTATCACAAAAATAAATTGTCACCAATCCCAGTATGTTTTAGCATTTCAGAAGATAACAAATCTGTGATATCATTTCAAATTGCATGCATGGAACGACCAATTTGATTTTCTTATAAAATCGTTGTGCCAGCTTTAAACAAAAACTATCATTGCATGTTATTTATAAAGAATGTTCAAAATAAAGAGGAATAAATGGATGGAGTATTTCCTGTTAACAAATTCCATCTGACTGGAACACAAATTTATTAAAAAACAGTCTAGCCACCTAATCAGTCTAGTCTTTCCTACCTGCAAGATTTCTTCCAACACCACCGTAACATTGCTTCAACTTTCCTGGATTAGTGCCCCCATGATACTAAAAAATCAAAATAAAATATTTTAAAATGAAAAACTGTAAAATGATACAACAAATATTATAATCTTTCAGAAAATATAGTTTTACTTGGTTCATTTGGGAAAACAAACAAAAAAATTTGTTCTGTAATACTATAAAGATTCCTACATGTTTACAATTATATTATTATAATTATGATCCTTATCAACTATTTTTGTTTTTATTTTATATTTATTGAAAGAATAAATTAGTGAAAATCAGTTGCTTTATGACAATTCAGTACCACATTATATAGAAATGTTCAAATGTGTTACAGACAAGGTTCAATGTCTTTCTTATTTGAAAAATACACATCATAATAACATCATTTTCGAACACTTTCTATTGTTTACATTGGGTTATATGTAAATATCACTAAATTATAACTACGTGTGGAAAACGATAAATAATAATATAATGTCATCATGAAATTAGCACAAAGACAACATGGTGTCAACCTTTGCTAGGTGACGGCTGATATGATCACTGTACTGCCTTTATGCAAACCTTCCTGTATTCTCGTTATAACCTCAGAGTATCAATGAATGGTACTGCAGATAGATAAATATTCACCAGGCTTCATTTTAGTAAATTTGATGTTGTACATGTATTAGGTTTTAAATTCACTACTTGAAGAAACCAAATAATACTCTCAATCCTTAAATTTGAGTATTTCAAATATTTTTTTTTAAATTAGTGCATTAATTTAGCTGTCAGAAAATGAAGTCAAAATATAAACAATGTCGAAGAAGGACATAATAAAAACAAAAGCTAACACACAGTGCAAGGCACCACCTGAGGGCAGTATAACTCACCATGATGTTTTTCTTGGTAATTGTAGACATAAAGTCAACAATACTGGCACCAAAAACGATTGGCCTAGGCTTAATATCAGAGTATCTCTTATACAATTTTTTGTTATCATCCTTATTTCTATTATTATCTTTTCCATTTGTTTTCATGAGTTTAGAAAGTTCATATGCAATATGACTTCCAACTTTTGCATTATTTCTGATCAGTGCAATATCTGAATGTTGTTAATAAGGAAGAAAAAAAATGCTGTTTTAAATTACACATTCATATACAATGCCTGCTTAGAGTTAATATTGAAATTACACGGAATAAACAATGCCAAATACATGTATATTTGTCTGGCTTTTTTGGACATAACAACTCTGGCAGTAAATACAGGTCAGTTGAGTAAGCTAGAATGTATTCATTCACTTTCAAAGTGATAAACATAGTAAAACTGTATATAATTGTCTGACTTGGCAACTTTTTGACTATCTGCTATTTGACAATGGTGTGTTGTAGATTACTAAAAGTATTTTGTTTAATATAAAGATACATATATTGTTTAAACCTGAGATTCAGTGTGGATTTTTTTTTCTATTGTGGTTTATCTGTGAATGTTTTCCATTTATTTTCTGCTGTGCCAGACTTTCTTAGCATTTTTTTTTACAATCACGATAATTTACATAGTCTTAGCTTAGGTTACTCCGTGAAAAGTCATCCATGCATGCTAATTGACAATATGTACCTATGACAGTAAATGTATTGCAGACAAATTTGTTTATGACAAACGTTTTGCCATTACTATGACTTTCCTTCACTTCAATACAAACAAGCCAAATAGAAAACAAGCCAACATTCATAATGCGTACAGAAGCCTGTATTGTTTTTAAGTGTTCTCAGTGTTCAGTACAAATCATATCTAGATATACTTGTGTGCAGACAATATATCTAGTGTGGAATTGGTGTGGTCCTTTGCCAATCTTAAAAAAAATACAACATGCACCTGTAGCCCAATATGCATTATCAGGATTTGAATGAAATCACCAAGAAACAGTTCTTGACACGGTTACAAACTGCAATTTCAGACTTTTTAGACAAAACGGCCATCAATTCGACAAATCTAATCGAAAAATAACAGGACCTATTGTATACCTATTAGTATAAGAATTGGCATAAGCATGAACATAAAAATGTAATGACCATTGGTCGGCCATTTTTCTCAAATCTTAAAAGAATATGGTGTGCATCTGTAACCTAGAAAGCAATATCATGATGCAAAGTTTAAATATAATCACCCATTCATCACGAAAAGCAGTCCGAGACACGTTTAAAGACCAAAATCTAAACGTGGTACATAGAACACATACCCCAGACCATTCGTCCCGGTGTTATCGCTATCGCCACACGAGACTCCAGCTTGTCTCCTATACAATTTTCCTTCCGCCCACTTAATTTTAATATTCATATGACCTTTGCACTGACATCGATAGCCAATCGCATTCGACCGCGGACGTCACTCTAAATAAACAACTGAATAAATTAATATACCATATTTGGAAGATAGCA